GATTTGGGGGGATTGGGGGAGGATTCGGGGGGTTTGGGGGGGTCCGGGAGGGTTTTGGGGTGCCGCAGGTGGTGGGAGCAGCGGGGAGGGGTCTGCGTGGGGGTCTGATGGTGCCGGGGTGTCTGGGAATGGGTCTGGGGTCTGGGATTGAAGCATGGGGGTGCTGGGGGGAGGTTTGGGGTCCCAGCAGGGTTTTGGGGTGCCCCTCGGACCCAGCACTGCAGTAGGGACTTGGGTGAGGGGGTCTGGGGATGATGGGGGGGTTTCAAAGGGACTGGAGGGGGGTCCCGGGGGTGTTTGGGGTGCCACCGGTCAGAGCAGCGGCCGTGCAGCAGGGACTGGGCTGGGCTGGGCTGGGTGTAGGTTTGGGGGTCCCGGGGCAGGTTTTGGGGTCCCGGGGCAGGTGTTGGGGTCCCGGGGCAGGGTTTGGGGTCCCGGGGGCAGGTTTTGGGGTCACACACCGGTCGTAGCAGCGGCCGTGCAGCAGGGACTGGGCTGGGTGGGGTTTGGGGGTCCCGGGGCAGGTTTGGGGGTCCCGGGGCAGGTTTTGGGGTCCCGGGGCAGGTTTTGGGGTGTTCGGGGTGCCCACCGGTCGTAGCAGCGGCCGTGCAGCAGGGACTTGGCGTACGCGTCCATGCAGCCGGGCCGCGCGGGCTCGTGGCCGTGCTCCTCCTCGTCCAGGGTCATGAAGAAGGCGGCGCGCTCGATGGCGTCCAGCGCCGCCTTGTTGGGGCCGCGGCTGAAGAACCGCGCCCGCGCCTCGGCCCACGGCACCCTGCGCGGCCCGGGGCGGCCCGGGTCAGCACGGGTCAGCACGGGTCAGCCCGTTATTCCCCCGACCCCACCGCGGCCATCGAGCGCCCCTCCGAGCCCCCCGCCCCGTGTCCCTGTGCCGCAGTGAGGGGACAGGGATGGGACAGGGATGGGGACAGGGATGGGGACAGGGATGGGGACAGGGATGGGACAGGGATGGGACAGGGCCGGGGACAGCACGCCCTGGTGGCCCGGGGCTCCCAAGGCTGCCGGTGTTTCCAGAATCGCCGGTGTGCCCATCGCTCCCGGAGCTCCCAGTGTGCCCAACATCCCCAGTATCCCCATTATTCCCGGAGTTCCCGGGTGCCCGGTGTCTCCAATGCCCCCAGTTTCCCCGTTATTCCCGTTATTCCCACTATCCCAGTTATTCCCGGTGCTTCCAGAGCTCCCAGTATTTCCAGCTCCCCATCATTCCCGGAGTTCCCGGTGTTTCCCGGTGCCCGGTGTCCCCAGTATCCCCACTGTTCCCAGTGTTCCCGGTGTTCCCAGAGCTCCCAGGTGCCCAGCATCCCAGTATGCCCAACATCCCCATTATTCCCGTTATTCCCAGTGTTCCTGGAGTTCCTGGAGCTCCCCTCCCCACAGCATTCCCAGTATTCCCATTATTATTTCCATTATTCCGGTGTTCCCAGAGCTCCAAGATGCTGATTGTTCCCATTATTCCCAGTGTTCCCGGAGTTCTCAGGTGCCCAATGTCCCCAGTATCCCCAATTTCCTCAGTATTCCCAGTGTTCCTGGAGTTCCTGGAGCTCCCAGGTGTCCAGCATATCCATTATTATTCCCATTATTCCAATTTTCCCCATTATTCCGGGTGTTCCCAGGTGCCCAGCATCCCCAGTTTCCCCATTATCCCCGGAGTTCCCAGTGTTCCCAGTATCCCCATTATTATCGCCATTATTATCCCCATTATTTCCAGAGTTCCCAGGTGCCCAGTATCCCCATTATTATTCCCATTATTCCCAGACCTCCCAGGTACCCAGCATCCCCATTATTCCCGGTGTTCCAGCATCCCCAGTATCCCCATTATTATCCCCATTATTATCCCCATTATTATCCCCATTATTCCCGATGTTCCCAGGTGCCCAGTGTCCCCAGTATTCCCATTATCCCCATTATTCCCGGTGTTCCCAGTGCCCAGCATTTCCAGTATCCCCATTATTATCCCCATTATTCCCGATGTTCCCAGGTACCCAGCATCTCCAGTATCCCGGTATCCCCATTATTATCTCCAGTATCCCCATCATTCCTGGTGTTCCCAGCATCCCCAATATCCCGGTATCCCCATTATTACCCCCATTATTCCCGGAGCTCCCAGGTGCCCAGTATCCCCATTATTATTCCCATTATTCCCGGTGTTCCCAGCATCCCCAGTATCCCCATTATTATCCCCATTATTATCCCCATTATTATCCCCATTATTCTCAGTGTCCCCAGCATCCCCAGTAGCATCCCCAGTATCCCGGTATCCCCATTATTCCCCCCGTTATTCCCCCCATTATCCACGGGACCCCCCAAGCCCCCCCCGAGCCCCTCACCGGGGGGATCTCGCCCCGGTCCAGCCGCCGCCGGTACAGGATGAGCGAGTGCACCACGTTGGCCGCCCGCGCAGCCTGGATGGGGCTGGGGATCACGTACAGGAAATCCTGGCGACAAGCGACACGGGACACGGCGCGGGTCGCGGGGGGTCCCCGGGGGGGTTTGGGGTCCCCCAGCCCCCCAGCGTCCCTTACCATGGCGTAGTAGTTGCTGTTGACCATGAGGGGGCTGCGGCCGCGCAGGTAAATGTACTCCTCCCACCAGTCACTGACCTGCGGGACGGGGACGGGGACGGGAATGGGGACAGGGGATGGGGACGGGGACAGGGACAGGGGACAGAGACAGGGGACAGGGACAGGAGACGGGGATGAGGACAGGGGACAGGGACAGGGAACGGGGACAGGGATGGGGACAAGGATGGGGGACAGGAATGGGTGGGGACAGGGGATGGGGACAGGGGAAAGGGACAGGGGACATGGGATAGGGGACAGGGATGAGGAGAGGGATGAGGAGAGGGGAAAGGGACAGGGGACAGGGACATGGGATAGGGGACAGGGATGAGGACAGGGGACAGGGATAGGGGTGAGGGGACAGGGGACAGGGGACAGGGAACGGGGACAGGGGATAGGGGATAGGGACAGAGGACGGGGACAGGGGACAGAGACAGGGGACAGGGACAGGAGACGGGGATGAGGACAGGGGACAGGGGACAGGAGACGGGGATGAGGACAGGGGACAGGGAACAGGGACAGGGATGGGGACAAGGATGGGGGACAGGAATGGGGACAGAGACAGGGATAGGGACAGGGGACAGGGACAGGTGACAGGGGTGAGGGGACAGGGATGGGGGACAGGGGACGGGGACAGGGATGGAGAGAGAGAACCGGGAAAAGCCACAGCGAGGGGGACAGGGAGAGGGGACAGGGACAAGGGACAGGGGACATGGGATAGGGGACAGGGATAGGGACAGGGATAAGGGTGAGGGGACAGGGATGAGGACAGGGGACGAGGGATAGGGGACAGGAACGGGAATGGGGACAGGGATAGGAATAGGGACAGGAATGGGGGACAGGGACAAGGGTTAGGATGCAGGGACAAGGACAGGAGACGGGGCAAGGGACAGGGATGGGGACAGGTGAAAGGAACAGCGATTGGGATGGGGACAGGAACCAGGGACAGAAACAGGGGACAGTGACGGGGTACAGGATCCTCTGTCCCTTCTGCTCCACCCAGGAGATCCCAAACCCCTCCTCAGGCTGCCGGGAGGGGACACCAGCCCGGAGGTCACCTCCCCAGAGGCTGCGGGGTCCCCGGTGTCCCCGCACTCACGTAGTTGGTGGTCCACCAGGACTTGAGGAGCAGGTAGCGCTGCAGCCGCGGCGCCGTCTTCTCCTGGAACTCCTTGGCCAGCGCCGCCATCTCCTGGTATTTGTCATCGTCCAGGAGCGGCCGCACCGACTCCAGGTACTGCGGGGAGGGGACACGGCGTCACCGCCCGCCACCGCCACTGCCACCGCCACTGTCACCGCCACCGCCACTGCCACCGCCACTGCCACCGCCACTGTCACCGCCACTGCCACCGCCACTGCCACCGCCACTGCCACCGCCACTGCCACCGCCACTGTCACCGTCACCGTCACTGCCGGGGGGGGCGTACCCGGGCGATGGTGGCTTTCACGGGGGGCACCGGCAGCTTGGGCAGCGAGCTCTGGAAGCTGTACAGGAGGGGCTTGCGGATGGACATGATCTTCATCAGCGCCTGCGGGAGCAGCAGCAGGAGGAGGAGGAGGGATGGGGTGAGGATCCACGGCTTCCACAGTGCCCACGAAACTCCGGGCACCCATAGTTCCCACGGCTCCCAAAGAACCCCAGGCACCCACAGCTCCCACAGTTCCCACAGCTCCCAAAGAACTCCAGGCACCCACAGCTCCCAAAAATCTCCAAGAACCCATGGCTCCCAAAGCACCCACAGCTACCAGAACTTCCACAGCTTCCATGCCTCCCAGAGCTCCCAGAGCATCCATGGCTCCAGCAGCTTCCCGAGTTCCCACAGCTCCCATGGTTCCCACATCTCCAAAGGCTCCCATGGCAGCCACAGCTCCAACAGTTCCCATATCTCCCACAGCTCCCAAAACTCCTTCATCTCCCAGGACTCCCCGAGTTTCCACAGCTCCCATAACTCAAGTGGCTCTCACAGCACCCACAGCTTGTGCAGCCTCCACGGCTCCCATGGTTCCCACAGCTCCCAGAGCTCCCAGCATCTCCAAAGGCTCCCACCTCTCCCAACATCTCCCAGAGCTCCCTCACCTCTCAAAGCTCCCAACATCTCTCAAAGCTCCCACAGCTCCAAAGGCTCCCACAGCTCCCAAAGTGCCCAACATCTCCCAGAGCTCCCACGGCTCCCAAAACTCCCATGGACCCCAAAGCTCCAAAGGCTCCCTCAACTCCTGAAGCTCCCACAGCTCCCAACATCTCCAACATCTCCCAGAGCTCCCACAGCTCCCAAAACTCCCACAGCTCCAAAGGCTCCCACATCTCCCATGTCTTCATCTCCCAAAGCTCCCAAATCTCCCAGAGCTCCCACATCTCCCAAAGCTCCCACAGCTCCTAAAGCTCCAAAGACTCCCACAGCTCCCACATCTCCCACAGTTCCCACATCTCCCCGCTCTCCCGGCGCGGGCGGCGCTCACGATCCAGAGGCGGGTTGTGCGGCTCATGCGCCCGTGGGGCTCGAACATCCACCACAGTTCCAGAGCTCCCACACCTCCTGGAGCTCCCAACATCTCCCAAAGCTCCCACATCTCCCATGTCTTCATCTCCCAAAGCTCCCAAATCTCCCAGAGCTCCCACATCTCCCAAAGCTCCCACAGCTCCTAAAGCTCCAAAGACTCCCACAGCTCCCACATCTCCCACAGTTCCCACATCTCCCCGCTCTCCCGGCGCGGGCGGCGCTCACGATCCAGAGGCGGGTTGTGCGGCTCATGCGCCCGTGGGGCTCGAACATCCAGCCGTGGTAGGAGAGCATCAGGCGGAGCAGCCTCCGGAAGAGCAGCACGGCCGCCAGCCAGGCCCCGGTGGAGAACAGCACGGTGCTGACCACGGCATGTCCCCGCTCTCCCGGTGCGGGCGGCGCTCACGATCCAGAGGCGGGTTGTGCGGCTCATGCGCCCGTGGGGCTCGAACATCCAGCCGTGGTAGGAGAGCATCAGGCGCAGCAGCCTCCGGAAGAGCAGCACGGCCGCCAGCCAGGCCCCGGTGGAGAACAGCACGGTGCTGACCACGGTCTGCGCCTGGGGCGTCAGCGCCTCGCTGGGGACGCGCGGGGACACGCCTCAGGGGGGGACAGCGCGGGTGGGAGCCCCGAGCTGTCCCCAAACAGGGCTGTGCCCCCGGTGGCACTGCCAGGGAATGTCCCCAGGTGGGGCTGTGCCGTGGGGTGGGACACACGGGGATGCCCCGAAGTGGGGTCCCTGGAGGGACACCCCAGATGGAGATGTGACAGGGCTCCTGCACCTCCCGGGGTTGGGGTCCCTCTGTGGGACAGGGCTGTGTCATGGGTGGGACCTCTTGAGGGACACCCCAAATGGAGATGTCACAGGCCTCCTGCACCTTCTGGGGCTGGGGTCCCTCTGTGGGATAAAGTGGTGTTGGGGATGGGACCCCACTTCTGGACACCCCAAATGGAGACGTGACAGCCCTCCTGCACCTCCCGGGGGTGGGGTCACTCTGTGGGACAGGGCTGTGTCCGGGCTGGGACCCCACTTAGGGACACCCCAAATGGAGACGTGACAGCCCTCCTGCACCTCCCGGGGTTGGGGTCCCTCTGTGGGACAGGGCTGTGTCCGGGGTGTGACCCCACTTAGGGACACCCCAAATGGGGCGGGGCTGTGCAGGCTGCAGCCCCGGGCTGTCACTGTCCCCACGGCCGCGCTGGCCTTTGGGGTGTCCCCGCTTTGGGGTGTCCCCTCTTTGGGGTGTGCCCCCTTTGGGGTGTCCCCCCTTTGGGGTGTCCCCGGGACGCTGCGGGGTGACCGCGCGGGCCGTGCCCGGCCCGGGGCCGCGCTCACCTGCGGGGCAGCCAGTGCTGGATGCGGGCGATGAGCCCCAGGGACGGATCCACCTGGCAGTAGCAGGAGCCGGCCGTGGCCATCACCACCACCATCCAGCTGGAGGGCGACGCAGGGTACACGCCGGTCAGGAAGCTGTTCTGTGGGCACAGCGGGGTCACGGCGGGCACGGCGGGCTGCCAGGGCCGGGGGCACGGGCGGCCGAGCCCACCTTGGCGCGGACCAAGCGCTTTTTCCACGAGTGGACGGCGGCCAGGTAGAGCTGGCGCACGGCCTCGCGGCTCAGCTGGAAGCCCAAGCCCTCGGGGGTGACCGTGAACTGGAAGGCCACGGCCTGGTGAGCTTCCGCCATGGTGGGGACCCGCCGGTGACACCTGCGGGGACACAGCGCGGCCGTGGGCACCGGCACGGCCACCCCCGGCACGGCACCGGGGGGGTGGCGGCGCAGGGACCGGGGGACCGGGGGTGCCCTGCCCGGTGTCCCCCGGGGCGGTGGCAGGGAGGTGGCCCGCGGGAGCCCGGGCACGGCCACCCCCGGCACGGCCCCGGGGTGGTGGCGGCGCAGGGACCGGGGCACAGGGGGTGCCCTGCCCGGTGTCCCCCGGGGCGGTGGCAGGGAGCGGGGCACGGGGGGTGCCCTGCCCGGTGTCCCCGGGGATGGTGGCAGGGAGGACAGGGGGTGCCCTGCCCGGTGTCCCCCGGGGCGGTGGCAGGGAGGTGGCCCGCGGGAGCCCCCCAGGAGCGTCACGGCGGTGTCGCGGCGGCGTCACGTGGCGGTGGCGCGGTGCCCACTGAGGGAAGGGTCAGCGCTGTCACCGCCGCCGCGCGGCCCCCGAGGGGACAGCGGGGAGGACAGCCCGGCCCCCGCCCCCGGCACGCGCTGTCCCCTGCCCCGTGTCACCAACCCCTGTGTCACCACCGGTGTCCCCGGAGACCCCACCCCGCTCCGGGGGTGCCACAAAGCCCCCCCAGCTCCGGGACCCCCCGGGCTGGGCACGGCCAGCGCCAAGCCCGGGTGTCGGGGGTGACACTCTTGTCCCCAACAGCGGGGTTGCTGTGCCCTCTGCAGCCCGTGGTGTCACCGTACTGCACCCCATGGCACCCGGCTGTGGCACCTGGCCTGGTATGGCACAGATGGCACCGATGCCACCCCACGGCACGGCACGGCCTGGCACACCTGGGCATTAAACACATCCCCAGCCCTGCAGGGCACCGTGGCACTGCCACTGCCCTGTGCCACCACCGTGTGTGACCCTGCAGGGCACCGTGGCACTGCCACTGCCCTGTGCCACCGCCTGTGTCACCTGCAGGGCACCGTGGCACTGCCACTGCCCTGTGCCACCGCCCTGTGTCACCCTCAGGGCACCGTGGCACTGCCACTGCCCTGTGCCACTGCCCTGTGTCACCCGCAGGGCACTGTGGCACTGCCACTGCCCTGTGTCACCCTCAGGGCACCGTGGCACTGCCCGGCCGTGCCCGCCCTGTCCCGCAGGCCGTGCCCCCGCGCCCCCGCGTGTCCCTGCTCGGTGGCACCGGGGACCCTCCCGCCGTGTCCCCCCGCCCCGCCCAAGGTCACCGCGGCTCCGGGGCCGGGATGCGCAGCCCCGGGGCGGCCCCGCGTGGGGCCGGGACCCCCGGAGGGACCCCGCGAGGGGACCCCGGCCACGCGGGGGTCGCCCCGCACGGACACGCGTGGGAGCCGGCACCGGCGCGACGCCCCCCGAGGGGCCGGGGGCTGCCGGTACCGGGGGTCGCCGGTACCGGGGGCTTCCCTGCGGGGGTCCCGTGCGCGCCCCCTCCCCGGGCCCGGTACCTGCGTGGGCAGCGCGGGGGCCGCGGCTCCGCGGGACGGCGGCTCCTGCGGCCGCGGTAACCGGACACCGGACACCGGGCAGCGGCGGGGGCCGGGCGGCGCCGCTCCGCCCCCGGGGGGACCGCCACTGCCGGGGGGACCCCGACACACCGGCACGGGGACGGTGACACCCGGGGGGACCCCGACACACCGGCACGGGGACCGCCACTGCCGGGGGGACCCCGACACACCGGCACGGGGACCGCCACTGCCGGGGGGACCCCGACATACCGGGACAGGGACCGCCACTCCCGGGGGGACCCCGACACACCGGCACGGGGACGGTGACACCCGGGGGGACCGGAGCCCGCGACACGGACCGGTGTCCCCAGGGAAAGCGACAGCCCGGGAGTGCGACAGGAGTGCCCAGGCGGGGACAGGGACATTCGGGACAAGGACCCCGACATCCCCGGGGGTGCCCGTCCCGGGACAGGGCTGGACATCCCGGGACAGAACGGCCACCGCCGGGATGGGGCGTCAGCAACAGCCGGGGCCACGGAGCGTCACCCCGGGGACAGCGGGGACACCGACATCCCGGGGGGATCCACGTCCCGTGACAGGGACACATCCCGGGACAAGGAGCCGCACCTGGGACAGGGACCTGCATCCCGGGACAGTGACACACGCACGGGACAGCGACACAGGGACCAGGACAGGGATGGGGACATGCACGGGGACAGGGACCCATATCAGGGACAGAGACACATCCCGGACAGGGACGCACGGACCAGGACAGGGAGACACACCCGGGACAGGGACAGATACCCGGGACAGTGACCCGCATCAGGGACAGGGACTCCCATCCCGGGGACAGGGACAGTGGCTCTGCCACGGGCTCCGGGTGTCCGTGCCCGGGGCAGCGGCGCTGTCTCTGTCCCTGTGCCCTGCCTGTCACCTGCTCCATGCGCTGTCACCTGCCTGGCACCTGCTTGTCACCTGCCCGACCTCTGGCCCCTGTCCCGGTTGTCACCTGCCCGTCACCCTGAGTGGCACCTGCCTGTGCCCTGCCCTGTCCCTGCCCGGTGTCCCGGCTGTCCCCTGCCCTCTGTCCCGGCTGTCCCCTGCCTGTCCCTACCCGGTATCCTGCCTGTCCCCTCCCTGTCCCCTGCCCGTGCTGTCCCCTCCCTGTCCCTGCCCTCTGTCCCGGCTGTCCCCTGCCTGTCCCCTGTCCCCACCCTGAAGGGACACGGGCAGGGGTCTCCAGCACTCGGGACCCCACCCCAAAGCCCCCCGCACCCCCCATGTCACCCCGCGTGTCCCTTGTCCCCTCCAGCCCCTCTCCCCCTGCGCGGCGGCGATTGGGGGGTCCCGGGGGGGGATCTGGGGAGGGGGATTTGGGGAGGAAGAGGCGGGAATCTGGGGGTGGGATTTGGGGAAGGCGGGATTTTGAGGTGGGATTTGGGGCGGGGGGAATTTGATAGGGGTGGGATTTAGGGTGGGATTTGGGAAGAGGGAATTTGAGGGGCCGGGATCTGGGATGGGATTTAGGGCGGGATTAGGGAAGCAGGACTCGAGCGCCGGCCCCAGCGCGGCTTTATTGGTCTGAGTTTTACATTCCGCCGTCCGAACGGGGGGACCCCGGGGGCCCCCCCGGCCCCAGAGCTGCGGGCGGGGGGCGCTGAGGTACAAACAGGGGTCCCCCCCCCTTGCGACACCCCAGAGCCCCCCAAAACCGCCCCAAACCCCGTTACTGGCCAGGAGTGCGGGTCTGGGGGTCCCGGCGCCCCCTCCCCAAATCCCACCCTGCTCGGGGGGTCCCAGATCCCACCTCTGCTGCCGAGTCCCGGGCCGCGGGGGGGTCCCGGGGCTCAGCCCCCCCCAAACCGTTGTGGGGCCCCCCCAAACCGTTACAAACCCCCCCAACCGTCCCAACGCCCCCCGAGGGCCGGGGGGGCAGGATTTGGGGGGTCCCCTCAGGAGCAGCGAGCCTTGTGCTGGAAATAGGCCTGGAAACGGCTCTGGGCGTAATCCTGGGGGAAAAAACGGGGAAAAGGGGAAAAAACGGGGAAAATATCAGGGAAAAAGGGAGAAGGGAGAAGGGAGAAAGAGGGAGGAAAGGGCAGGGAAGGAGGGAAAAGGGGGGAAATGGGAGAAAAGGTGGGAAAGAAAAGGGGAAAAGGGGCAAAAAAGGTGGGGAAGGGGGAAAAAGGGGTTAAAAGGGAGAAATAATAAAGGGGGAAAAGGGGGGAAGAAGGGGGAGAAAAGGAGGAAAAGGGGAAAATGGGGGGGAAAGGAGAAACCCCCAGGACACCCCTAGCCTCCCCAGAACACCCCCAGCCCCCCAAGAGGGGCCCCCCCAGCCCCCCGGCTCACCAGGTAGCCGAAGTGGATGGTGGAGATCTTGGCCTGCACCACGGACCAGAGCCCCCAGAAGAAGTGAGAGGCCAGGGTGAAGCTGGGGGGAAAGGGGGGTGAGACCTCAAACCCCGCCCCGGGCACCCCAAAAACACCCACGGCAGGGGGGCGAGGGGCAGGGGAGCCAGGAGGGGACAGGGAGCCCAAAGGGGGGCACAGGGACCCCAAAGGGGGGCACAGGGACCCTAAAAGTGGCACAGAGAACCCAAATAAAGGTACAAAGCCCCCCAAAAATCTCACTGAGGAACCCAAAAGTGGCATGGAGACCCCCCATGGAGGTAAAAGACCCGCAAAAATCACACAGAGAACCCCAAAAGTGGCACAGAGGACCCCAACTGAGGCACGGTGACCCCCCCAAAGTGGCACAGGGACCCCAGATGAGGGCATAGAACCCCCAAATCTTGGCAGAGAGGATGCCAAAAGTGGCACAGAAACCCCAAATACAGGTACAAAGACCCCCCAAAATCACAGAGGACCCCAAAAATGGCACAGACACCCCCGAAAGTGGAACAGGAACCCCCGAAAGTGGAACAGGAACCCCCAAAGGAGGGCACAGGGGACCCCAAAAGAGGCACAGAGAGCCCAAACAGTGGCACAGTGACCCCAAATGAGGGCATAGAACCCCCAAATCTTGGCAGAGAGGACCCCAAATGTGGCACGGAAACCCCAAACAGAGGTACAAAGACCCCCCAAATCACAGAGGACCCCAAAAATGGCACAGAAACCCCCAAAATTGGCACAGAAACCCCCAAACGAGGGCACAAAGGACCCCAATAGTGGCACAGGGACCCCAAAAGTGGAACAGAAACCCCCAAGCGAGGGCACAGAGGACCCCAAAAGAGGCACAGACACCCCCAAAAGTGGAACAGGAACCCCCAAAAGTGGAACAGGAACCCTCAAAGGAGGGCACAGAGGACCCCAAAAGAGGCACAGAGACCCCAAACAACCCCCCAGTCCCACAGGGGACCCCCGAGGTGCCCCCGCAGCCGGTACCGCTCGATCTCCCGCAGCATCTGCTCCTCCAGGCGCGCCTGCTCCTCCTGCGGGGCCCGCCCGGGGACTCTCCAAGTGCTTAACGGGTAATGCCGGATGGAATGGAGCTGGGGACGGGCACAGGACCCCAAAGGGACAGCCCAGGGACCCCAAAGGGACAGCCCAGGGACACCCCCAGCCCCAAGGGACACCCCCGGGGATCCCTCGACCTCAAAACCCTCCCCGACCCCAAAGAACCTCCCCGGCCCCAAGGGACCCCGAGCACTCGGGCAGGTAGTGCCGGATGGAATGGAGCTGGGGACGGGCACAGGACCCCAAAGGGACACCCCAGGGACACCCCCAGCCCCAAGGGACACCTCCGGGCACCCAAAGGGACCGACCCCCGACCCCAGGGGCCCACTCGACCCCAGAGAAGCTCCCTGGCCCCAAGGGACCCCCGAGCCCTTGCACAGGTAGTGCCGGATGGAATGGAGCTGGGGATGGGGAGGGGCTGGGACAGGGGCTGGGACCCCAAAGGGACACCCTTGAGGATTCCCTCAACCCCAAAAAACCTCACCAACCCCAAGGAACCTCCCCGACCCCAAAGAAGCTCCCTGGCCCCAAGGGACCCCCGAGCCCTTGCACAGGTAGTGCCGGATGGAATGGAGCTGGGGGGGTGGGGAGGGGCTGGGACCCCCCCAAGGGATCCCCAAAGGGACCCCCTGCTCCCAAGGGACACCCTCAGCCCCAAGGGACCCCTGCCCAGCCCCAAGGGACAGCCCGGGACCCCTCCTGGACCCCCAGAACCCCCCAGGGACCCCCCCACGGACACCCCAGGGACCCCCAGAACCCCCGAGGGACCCCCCCAGGACTCCCCCAGGGACCCCCCCAGGACCCCCCAGGGACCCCCCCAGGGACCCCCCAGGGACCCCCGGGACCCCCGACCTGCTGCTGGCGGCTGGGGTAGTGCTCGGGGTGTGCCTGGAAGCAGGGCCAGCGCTCGTGGCTGTAGCTGTAAACCCACTCGCAGAAGTGATTGCCCAGGTCAAAGCCCCTGCGGGGGGGGCACACAGCACTGACCCCACTGTGACCCCAAAACCCACCCCAAACCACCCGGGATCAGCACTGCCCCCAAAACCTCCCCAAACCCCCTCGCAGAACTGATTGCCCAGGTCAAAGCACCTGCAGGGGGGCACACAGCACTGACCCCAAAACCACCCCAAAGCCACTGACCCCAAAACCACCCCAAAGCCACTGACCCCAAGGGGGGGCACACAGCACTGACCCCAAAACCACCCCAAAGCCACCGGGCTCACACAGCACTGACCCCAAAACCCACCCCAAACCACCCGGGATCAGCACTGACCCCAAAACCACCCCAAAGCCACCGGGGTCACACAGCACTGACCCCAAAACCACCCCAAACCCACCCGGGATCAGCACCGACCCCAAAACCACCCCAAACCCAGCAGGGTCACACAGCACCAACCCCAAAACCACCCCAAACCCAGCCAGGGATCAGCACCGACCCCAAACCCAGTGGGGTCACACAGCACCGACCCCAAAACCACCCCAAACCCATTGGGGGATCAGCACTGGCCCCAAACACAGCAAGGGATCAGCACTGACCCCACTGCCACCCCAAACACAGTGGGGGGGTCACAGTGGGGATTTAAACCCCAAATCCCACTGGCAGCCTGCAGAGGGAACCCCAAATCCAAGGATTAAAGCCCCAAATCCCACCGGGAGCATGGAGAGGGAATCCCAAATCCCAGGATTAAAAACCCAAAACCCCCTGGGAGCTTTGTGAGGGGATTTAAACCCCAAATCCCACTGGGAGCCTGCAGAGGGGATAGGAACCTCAAATCCCACTGGGAGCCTGCAGAGGGACACCCCAAATCCCACAGAGATCACGGAGCATAGAGCTGAAACCCCAAATCCCACTGGGATCATGGAGAGGGGATTTAAACCCCAAATCCCACTGGGATCAAGGAGAGGGGATTTAAACCCCAAATCCCACTGGAAGCCTGCAGAGGGAACCCCAAATCCCAGGATTAAAGCCCCAAATCCCACAGAGATCACGGAGCACAGAGCTGAAACCCCAAATCCCAGTGGGGTCATGGAGTGCGAGGGACCCCGGGGACCCCAAACCCCCCAGGACCCCCAAACCCCGGGACCCCAAACCCCCCGGGACCCCCAGACCCCGGGACCCCAAACCCCCCGGGACCC